CAGTGCTGTGTGGTTGTTTTGGTTTTCAGTTGTGGAAATGTACTTCATTTGTGTTTCCTATTTACTATTGTCTTGAACATGTTTTTGGGTAACAAGTCTAGAAATGCACCGCCATTCATAAGACAACCAAAGAGTTAGTAGATACTATGGTTGGAAAAGTTTCAATTTATATTATCAGATTCAAACAGAGCATGTTTAGAGTATTTAGACATTTTCTTATTTATTCCCTAGTCATTGTTGCCAAATTATCCTTTGTTGAAATCTCCTCCTCCATAGCATCTGCTCCAATTCTCTCTTGAAGTCATCTTTGACATCTAGAAGACGGAACCATCGTCATTACAGCCCGTGCTCTGGGAAGCCCCTGGGATTACTTGTGTGACTCTGGGACAAAAAGATTCTGCATCTATCACGTGCTTGTTACATGATCACGGAAGGAGGTGATTTCCATGCATTTAATATGAACTGTTACTTTAAGAAAGGTGCTATCTCAAGCTGGGAGTTGGTGGCACACACCTTTAATCCCAACACTCGGGAGACAGGCAGGTGAATCTCTGTGAGTTCAAGACCAGCCTGGTCTACAAGAGCGAGTTCCAGGACAGCCTCCAAAGCCACAGAGAAACCCTGTCTCAAAAATCCAAATAAATAAATAAATAAATAAATAAATAAGTAAATAAATAAGAAAGGTGCTATCTTGGAAAAAAAAGAAAGGAAGGAAGAAAGAAAGAAAGAAAGGTGCTATCGCAGTCTGGGTTTTTTTTTGTTTTGTTTTGTTTTGTTTTTTTTTTTTGTTTTTCCGGCTCTGCCAATTTCCCTGGACTCCAGATGCTAGCAGTCACCGATAACTTTAGGAACATCAGTGTCACCATCAGCCTTTCTAGAAGCAGACCTGGGGGCGGGCCTGAGGTGGGAATTGATAAAGACACGGCGTCTCATTAGTTTTCAATGTTTTGGCAAAGGACCTAAAAAAGTCAACTTATAAAACTGAAAGATAAGTTTGGCCAGAGGTTGTAGCTCGTACTCTCTTGGTCCTGTTGCCTTTGGGCCTCTGGTGGGGTAATTTATCATGGAGCATGTGATACAGGAAACTGCTCACATCACTAAATCCAGGAGGCAGAGAGAGAGAATGAGGAGAATGAGTTGGGGCTGGGACACTGATAATCTCCTTTAAGGGCACACTTAAGTGAGACACCCCCCTTTCCTGGCAAAGTGCCCATCACCTCCCAGTTGTGCTGTGGGTAGCAGAGCAAGCCTTCAATGCATGGACCTTTGGATGACATTTAAAATTCAAGACACAACAACTATTCACTTCCCATTCGGCACATAAAAGACATACAACCTTTATTCCTTTGAGGCTGAATCTTTGCATCATGATAAATGCGATCTAATGTCAAGTGTACCTGGAGGCTGGACCATTAAACAGCCTGTGATTGCTGGACCGCACGGTAGGAATATGTTTAGTCTAGTAAGAAATGATCACGTTGCCTTCTGACGCTCCTTTACCATTCTGCATTCTCGTTAGAAGTGAAGAAGTACCATTTTTCCACACATGTACTTCACCAATTGTTTTGGGATGTGGGCCATGGGGGCAGGTGTGCAGTGATGCACCATTGTTTCAGTCTGAGACTCTCTAATGACAAAAGAGCTGGTCATAGGTTTACTTACCATTTACCTTTGCTGGTGACATGTCTGTGCAGAACACTTGTCCCCCCTTTTCTGAACTTGACTGTTTTCCTTTTGCTCGGTTTTAAGATTTCCTTGCATACTTTGAATTCCCATGTACATTTTGCAAACATTTTCTTTCAGCTTGTGGCTTGTCTTGCATTCTGTTAATATTATTCATTTTTAACTACGGAACCCCAACATCACCATTCAGTTCCTTTTAAATGCCCAAGACATCGAGTTTACAAATGAAAAAGAAGTTTGAAGGATCCTCATGCTCCCTCTTGACCACTGACCCCTTTTGTGAATGTCTGTTTGTAGAATGGATCAAGTCATCAACCTCAGGCCGGGCTTAACCTCAAACCTCGCCTCCTTAATGGGATCATCACAACTGTGATCCAAGAGTCAGCTAGTGGCCTGTCCAAGTTGGCTGGGTCTAGCTGAGCTGACATTTTTGCTGACTAGAGTCATGCTATCTTTGCCAGTTTGCTGGAATAGACACAGACACGGATTGGGTCACCACGAAGACATTCCTGTCTCGTGAAGCAAGGCTGTTTGTATTTTAGGTTTGCCAGGACTAATGAATTCAAACATTTGGACTCTCTACAACTCTCTGTTTATCAATGCCTCTGACAGGAGGAAGGTTTTTCTTTTGCTCTCGCTTTTTCTAGAAACATGACAACATCCTGGCTGTTGGAGTGGCAAGGAAAGGAGAGAGGGGCTGTGCAAGGAAGCGGAACAGGGAGGTCCCGTGGGCTGGGACGCTGGGGTCTGGGGCAGAGCAGGTAGCAGTGTGCAGCCAGGACAGCTGTCTCTGCCCCTCAGAGTGTCAGCGGCTGCTATGCAGCAGGTGCAGACTGGTCTCTCGCTGAGTTTTGACTCCACACACGCAACGACTGGCCAAGGCAGTGGCTGGCCCTGGATTACACAAGTGCAGACTCTCAACTAAGTGAGGTAAGGCAGCAGGTGTGAGACTCCACTAACAGCTCCAAGCACCGGCAACTTACCTAAGGCTCTGTTAACAGCACCCGGAGAAGGGACCGGCAGCCTGTTTCCCTAAGAGGTGTGATGAAAAGGCAAGTTGTGGACGCTCCGTGGAGCTCAGTATCTACAGGACCTGGACATCACCCTTTCTGAGGGAGACGGATATTTCCTGTTGTGCTGTCCTCAGCTGGGTTCATCCATTTCATTTCTCTAGCTTGAGACCACAGCAGAGGTCTGTTTAGTAAACCCCGCAGGCAGATTTCCCCCGCACCTCACCTGTTTCATTTCTTGACGCAGGAAAGTGTGAAGGCATGTGTCTGAGGAGGAGTGAGCTTCCCATCCCTAGAAGTCACGCTCAGGTGGACTGGGCACTGTAGGATGCTCAGAAGCAAGACTTTCCCTTTCAGCTACAACTTTTGGGGCTTTTGTTTGTTTTGTTTGGTTTGAGACAATCTGTGCTGTTTCTTCAGAAACAGGTGGCTAAGAGAACACTTGGTAGTAAGCCGAGGAAGCCACACAAGAATGTGCCAGAGGCTTGTTTTTGTAAAATCTAGAAGTCCTGTGTTAAGTCACAGCAAATTCAGGATAGCATCGTTTTGTAACTTACGATTACATGCCATGGGGTATAGAATGTCTGATAGCTGTTTGTAGGGTTAACTTAATGGGTTCAACAGAATTCTAAGTGGCTCATAAACAGTTGCTGTGTTTTTAAGCCTTACTGGATGGTTAATATAAGCCTATTTTCTTTCCATATGGTACCTAAAATGGTTCAAAATGTGTGGGCATCTGAATGCACTTGTACAAATGTATGCCTTGAACTCGTCCACATAAGAAATTGTAAAAACAGTGCTCAGTGTTCTGGATACTATTTTTAGACACAGAAAAGCTATGGGAAAGAGTAAAAAACCTGACCATGAGAAAATGTTTTGCTACAGTGGTTCCCAGGATCCTGCCAAGGATGGCTAAAGACATTATTTATATTTCACCATTTTTGGAGACATTTTCCTTAAAATATCATGCAGGGTTCTTTTTTTTTTTTTTTTTTCTGACATGGGGAGGAGAGAGTTTAGAAGAGGCATGACCGAAAATAGAAATGTTAAATCTATGTATTTAAATGACAACCATATCATGTGTTTATTATTCCATGTCTTCTTAGTCCCACTGAACATCAAATTATTACACATCTTCCTCAAAGTATAATTGGGTTAAATTCTCCTAAGAGCAGTTTTGCTCTTGCCATCTTATGCAAAGGATGTTTTCTACTCATTATCTCTAAGTTTATTGACTAAATAACAATTTAATATGTAGAGCCAGATATTCATAGCATGTCCTTGTGTTTTGTGTTTTGTTTTAAAGACAGGGCTTCATGTATCCCAAGCTAGTTTCAAACCCACTATTTAGTAAATATTACCTTGGATAGGCTGATTTTCCCACCTCCACATCCCAAGGGTTGGTGATTATAGGTGTGTGCCCCATGGACACTTTTTGCTTGGGTTGTAACCTGCTGTTAAGAAGTGAAACCTTAGGCATAAATGTTTGATAGATTTCGAGGTATCAGACAGTTAAGTATGTAATATTTATACTATGACTGTAACAGGGTTTAAAATGGCTTGGGGTTTACTTTAAATGATTTCACAATATTGACCCTTTACTACTGCCAAAGCAAACATTTTATTTAATTTAGGCTTTGAGTGTATATGTGTTTGTGTGTCTGCATGGACATGCAGGTGTGCACATGCATGTAGAAGACACAGGTCAACCTTCAGGACCTGTCTTCCTTGTTCTGTGCAATCCGGTCTCTTACTAGTACCTGGGTCATGCGGCCAATAAGGCTAGGCTAGTTGCTCTGGGGGTCCTAGAGACCTGCCTGTCTCTGTCTTCTCCATCACTGAAGTCACCAGTGTGTACCACCCTGCCCCCTCCTTTTTACATGCGTATCAAACTCCAATCCTTCTGTTTGCTCACCAGCTGAGACATCTCCCCATCCCCTAGCTTGGCTTTTAAGCATGGAAACGTAGCCGAGTCTAAATCTGTCAGTCTCTTAAGACTGTATCTTTTCTATATTGTTGCCATAAAAAAGCAATATAGGTGATCCTCAAAGCCAGGATTAAACTGATCAATGGGAAGAGATATTAAAAATATCAAGTAGAGATTTTAAAAGCCATATTTCATTCATTCTGGATGTCTATTACCAAAGTAATTTTTGTAGAAGCCTTAAAAAAAATTAAAACGAACTAGGCATTTACAATGTGGGAAAAGGCAACTTACTAACTTTCCCTTCTAATTTCTGAGTGTCTATGGGGCGTCAAAGTATAATGTTGGGCAAAGTGACAATGGCTATCTCTTTGTCTTTACAGCTGGAAGACCCAGGAGAAGGCCGGGCCTCAGGTGCCCACATGATCAGCACAGCAAGGGTACCTGCAGATAAACCAGTGCGCATCGCATTTAGCCTCAATGATGCCCCAGGTACAATTTGCTCCAGGGGAGAGGGCCCCCCCAATACTTCCAGAATTTTCACCATATTTCATGATTCCATGGAAAATGTTTAAAATTGCATGTTTGCATGACCTGCTGAGAAGTGTATGATATTCCATCACACACTATGTGGCTTCCAGAAATACCTCTGGCAATCCCCCCCCCCAGCAGTTTGATTGGGTTGTTTTAACTCCTCCCCCTCTCCCCATTTTAACATTCTTTTAGGGTAAGAACCATGGAGCTATAGCAATTTCTAAGGATAGAAAGCGACGTCATTGTTAAAATGGCATGAGGAAATGCTTATTAAGAGCTGGCAGTTGGTTAGATTATATAAAAATATCACCGCTCCTATTCCAACCACATGTTGGTTTCTCACTGGAGTTACCACACTTCCGGCTGAATAAACAGACTTCACCAGGAATGATGAATGGGACAGGTGAGGAGGGGCCTCTCTAAATAGCAAGGTCTGAGGTGAGCCTGCCATATTTAGAGCCCTTTGTCATGGCTCCCCTCAGTGACCTCTTAACACACATACAGAATTACACCACCCTTGAACAAGGGGCTCAAGTGCTGGGTGGTCACAATGGCTGTGAAAGGAAGGTCTGGGTTATGACCATTGGCATCAGCCATTGCTCTGTTAAAACCACCTTCTCAAACATCACCATGGAAACCTCAGGTCTTTTGAGAACCAGGTCTTATTTTCTCTGATACTCTCTTTGTTCTTCACTGTAGTGTCCACATAGGAGTGATGTTTTAAAAGCTAATGGATCACTGGGTGATAGCTCAGCCAGTAACGCAAACATGTGGACCTGAGTTCAGTTCCCTAAAAGACTTGTGAAAAAGCTGGGCATGCTGGTAAATCCAGCAATGGGGAGGTAGAGACAGAAGGATGCCTGGGCTTGCTGGCCCAGCCTACCCAGTGAGTTCCAGGGTAGTAAGAGACCTGTGGCACTTAACCAATGACATCCAAGGTTCTAACCTCCCCCCCCTCACAGACACAGTTAAGTCTTGAAAAAGGACAGAATCATTGCAAAATAATGTAAAGTAAGACATTTGGCTCTGGAAATTCTGGTGTGACACTGCCATTTGCTGGGTGATTATACAGCTATTCATCTACTCTAAACTTTCCCAGACCATGGTTGCCAGTGGAGGATGCCCTAGAGTAGGAAGAGATGAAACATTGGCCCTATATTGTGTCATGGTTTTGATGTACTGTGTCTTCCACTCAAGGGTTATTCTGTGAGACCCTGGTGAGGAGTGACCTCTACATTAGGAAGATCCACTCGAACATAGAAATAAACACTACCATTCTGATTCTCTTTGCATTGGGAACTCATCTTGGTTATTGTGTTAATTTAAACAATCATACAATGTAGTCATGAGCATTCTACAGGTTGGGATTCTGAGGCCTCAAGACCACACTGTTAGTTAAATAATGGAGTTGTGATCCAAACACAGGTCCTTAGACTTAGAAGTCCAAGTCCCTTCATACTTACTTCTCTAAAAAGTGCAAAGAAATTCCTTTCAGTTTGTAATGCACTTCATAGTTCCAAATTTCAAGGAATGGCCTGTATACAATGAGTAGTCCTCAAATTTATAATCCAAGAAGAAAGGATATTTCCTTTCTACACATGTCCCACAGGAGTCCTGTTATAATAAACAGGTTTATGAAGAAATTTTCAGTCCATAAATCTTGCTTTACCCAAGTAAAAGTATTATATAATTTTAGACAAGAAAAAGAGATGTACCATACCAGAAAAAGAAACACAAAGAGGTAAGTCTTATCCTTGGGCTGAATGAATAAACTCTTTTCTGAAGTCCAAAATGGAAACTTGAGGTTCATATGGCACTGTCTTTGAATTCTCTTGATCCTAGCTGAGAGTTCTTGAACATTTTTTAAATTAATTTATCTTGAACTTTTTTGCTTGTTTGTTTGTTTTTGGTTTTTCGAGACAGGGTTTCTCTGTGTCGATTTGGAGCCTATCCTGGCACTCGCTCGCTCTGGAGACCAGGCTGGCCTTGAACTCACAGAGATCCGCCTGCCTCTGCCTCCCTAGTGCTGGGATTAAAGGCATGCACCACCAGCGCGCAGAGGCCAGCCTGATCTATTGAGAGAGTTCCAGTACAGTCAGGGCTACACAGAGAAACTCTGTCTCAAAAAAACCAAATCAAACCAACAAAAAGAAACTACCATGACTATTTTAGCTTTATGATCAATGTGTTTCAATTTATTTAGGAAGGCTGTCTGCTTATAGAATTTAAGGCAGAGGGGCAGTTGTCAGTGTTTCTCAACCTTGCCTGATTATATCACCTGAGAGCATCCATCAAGAGAACATGTTTAGAAACACAAGAACAATAGGACATGAAATTGTCAGGGAGATGGGCTGGGGATTCTAGGGAGACTTAGAGGAAGTAATGGTGGATGAATATGCTCAAAATACAATGTATAAATGTGTGAAATTATCAAAGAATAAATAAGAATAGTAAGAAAAGGAACATATGCATAAAGGTATTACTCCTGTAAGGCTGATCCTAGAGACTCACTACATCTCTTTGAGGAACAAGAAAAAGCCTTCTTATGTGTTTATACTTACCAGACATGCAATATTTCAAGGGTCACTCAGAGCCGAGGGCTTGGAACTTTTCCATGCATACAGGCTTGCCAGGTCACCAAAGGATGTTTTGCAGATATTTGGGACACTCCCTCTGAATTCTCGAATAAGGAGTGTGTGGAGTGTCCTACAGGCACACAGTAACATTTGCCATCATGCAAGCTATACATGCCTTTTGAATTCCACTGTGTGTTTCCTGTGGACCACATATTTAGGAAGAAAAAAAAAGCCACAAAGGGAAATACCCTACACTTTAATAGCAAATGTGGGGAGGAACCTGGCCTTTTGAGGGGTAATTCCTCACTGCTGGATTTATATTGATGGATATACAGAGTCAGAGGGACAGGGAGACAGCTCTACTTGTGAATATTGATATTTGTTTCTTTTTTGAAGATCATTTGTTTGACAATTTTATTCATGTATAAAATGCACCTTGATCAGATTCACTCATTTCTATTATGTGTATTGCTGAACTGAGGCTGGAAGTGGGCACTGGATCTCTTAGAGCCAGAATTACAGGCATTTTCAGGACACAATGTAGTGGGAATGCTGGGATTAGAGCTCTGATTCTCATGATTGCACAGCAAGTGCTCTTAACCAGTGATCCTTCTCTCCAGCCCCCAAGAATTCATTTCTTAGGGGCTTAATATAGTTAGTACTGCATTCATTTTAGAATTTTTGACATATATTCCCGAGACATTTAATATAGAAGTCTAGGGTTTTGAAGTTAGAGGCTTATCTTCATCATCATAAGCTAGCAGTTCAGCCTTGTTGGAATTCAGTTTTCCTTCAGTTGCCTATGGAGGTAAGAATGAAATGCCATGTGAGAGGCCAAACATTTAGCAAAGTGCTTGGCACAAATGAAATATTCAAGTTGTCCGCATAATTACGGTAACTGACTGTGGAATATTAAGACAAATATAAACTGCTAGGGAGCATGTGTCCCATGGCCATTCCTCACTGCTCCTTGATGCTAAGATACTTCACAGTGCGGCTGCCTGCTGTTGTTTGGGAGTCTGGTAATCCAGCGAGTGGCCAGTGCTATCTCACCTGTCTAAGAAGCTGGCCTTTCCTATTTCCTACGCCTTCAGTACTCTGCCAAGACTGTTAGGATGCACACAATGGGGCAAGACATGACCCCTTCCTTAAATCTAAAAGGCTGTGATTTGCTTAATACCCCATGCTCTCTAGAGAAATTGTCAAAGCCATTTGAAAGAGCTGCCAAGAAAATCGGGCTGAAAGGTAGATTATAGAAAGACACCATCTCTAGGTATAAAGTTTATACATGAGAAAAGGGGATATCTTTATCCCCTTTTCTTCCTAATGCAGAAGTCATGAGCAAAACCCAAGAGTCAGGAAGAGCATGGCGTATTCAGCAAATGCTAAACCACAGTCTGTTAGCACAGAAGCTGAACTGTGGGATCATATCACATCCCAGCAGAGTACAGGAGATCCCTGGAGGATACCTGCTTAGACAGTCAGAGACCAGAGATTCCCGCTAACCTTCAAAGTTCATCCAACGAGTTTGCATTCAGTCAGAAGCAGCAGAGTCTACAATCTCCCTGCGCAGGGGTGGATATGATAGAAGGGTAGAATTTGGTAGCAGGGTCTAGAGTATGGAGAGAAGAGTGAATGGAAGAGGTGATTTATAACAATGCAATGGATTGTGTGTTTGGGTTTAGGATGAAATGATGGAGTTTGGAAAAGATTTTAAAAGAAGGATTGGAGCAGCTGGGTGACAGTTTGGCGTTTGGGAGTGAGAACTGGTGATGGTTCATTGATAGAAAATGAGCCACAGGTTTGCAAAGTCTCCATGACCTCCAAGGGCTTAAAGTACAGCAGCAGGCTTTGGGGAGAAATATATGGAGTCCTATAAGGTTCAGTCACCTTTTGCAGGCCACTGTCAGAGCCCTTCACTAAATGATACTTAGGTAATTGTAACCCTGGAGGTTGCTATTCCTGCCTTCAATAAGCTCAATATTATTTCCAAACCGGGAATTCCAAAATGGTTACTTCCTAAATGAGGCCCTCCACGGAATTAGTTTTCACAATAGCAAATGTACTGAAATATGAACCCTCCACCCTGAGTTATGAAAATCACAGGCTCCTTTTGTTTTTGTTTTGTTTTGTTTTCCAAGATAGGGTTTTTCTGTGTAGCCCTGGCTGTCCTGGAACTCACTGTGTAGACCAGGGTGGCCTCGAACTCACAGAGATCCTCCCACTTCTGCCTCCCGAGTGCTGGCACCACCACCACCTGGCCGCAGGCTCCTTTCCAATGAGAGAGAAGTTAGAATTGGGCAGATGTTGGGATTTCATTTAATTACAGAATTTCCTTTGTCTCCAGCTGAGTTCCAAGGGTGGCACACTCTCATATATATT